TATCCCCAATTCTCTCAATTCTCTAGGATACTAGGGAATTGGGAAAGCTGCAGGTGCTTTTTGGTTTCCTGAGACTTAGTCCCTCTACGCCCTGGGATCCTCCTTCATGGAGGGACTCTCAGTCCCCATACCCATGCCTGCCAGAGACCCCTTCTCTTCTGGCCTCCTGGCCCCCAGATCCTCAGCTTCACAGCTGGACTCAGTGGGACTTCCCTGAGATTTGCCCCTAGGTTATCTTTTACAGAATTTTAAAAAGCTCAGTCTCCAAGACCTTGAAAAGGAAAGCTTTGTGCCTGGCCTCAATATGATCTAGAGGACCAAGAAAAATTGTAAAAATTAAAAATTTTTTTTCTTAAGATTTTTCTTCCTGGAGTCCCAGCTCTGACCAGGCTAAGGCTACAGTAAAAAAGTTAGAACAGCTAAAAATATCTTAGCAGATTTTGAGATTGATCATTAAGGAGTTTTGAAACACCTCCTTTCAAGCCTGATCACTCCCTTCTCTTGAGTCAAGAGGGTACCTCAGTTTGGGAGAATGTAAACAGCCCTGTATTTTCCTGTTAACCCCTTTTGCCCCTGATCAGATTAAGAGAAGAAAGTGCTGGAGAAAGGTAGTGTTGTTACTTCCCAATAGCATCTGATTCTCTTAAAAGAACTGGAATCAGAGTGGAAACTTTTGATACAGTAACAAGATCAGATAACCCCGTATGCCAAAAGTAAATGATTCTAATGGGGCTGTTACTTTCTTTCTTTGTTTTCCCCCATTCTGACATCACTTTTAATTCTCCCTATATTTGGGCTCTGCACATTGAACTTGCTTGTCAGATTTGTGTCTTCCAGACAACGGGCTATTCACCTACAATTGGTAGCAAACAGTGGGTACCAGCCCATGTCCACCCATTGTCCCCTGCCCACAGCCTATGCTCTGTTCCAGCTAACCTCTTCCCTGGAATCCCCTCGAGGCAGGGACAGCTCTACAACCCTTGCCAGCAGGAAGCAGTTTTAGAAGCTGAGACCTTCACCCCTTACCCCAAAAGATTTTGGCTCCCATTTGTTTGAGGGGGGAATGATGGGGTGATGGGACCTGGACCCTGAATTTTCCCACATAACCCAGTCCCTGGCATCTCACTCAAGGCATCTAGCCCATCCCAGCCCACCTGGATACTCAATATGCCTTTCTCTGTCATCACACCTAGATCACCCCAGGCTATTTACTACTCCTTAATCCCATTCAGATCTTCTCACTGTCTTATCTTATATATAAGCACCAATGTTACCCTCATTAAATTGTACAGATTCTTAGGATCTCACTATTCCTATTGGAGTTACAATAGGAAAGACTCACTTAGAATCCAGTCCACTTCTATTGGTATCACAAATAAACCTCACTACTTTGACCTAAAGAAGGCTTGAGTGGTCGAATTCTTTCAAGATAAACCTCCTGGACCCTTGCATTTCAGGGTCCCCAGCACCCCAAACTGCAGGACAGGCACTCTAATGCATTGTTGGTAGAGCAGAGAATGACTTCAACCATTCTAGAGAGAAATTTGGAAATATACCCCCAAAGTCACTAAACTGCATACCCTTTTACCCAAATATGCCACTTCTACCCCAAAGTGATCAAAGAAAGAGAAAAAAGACTCTTATGTACAAAATATCTATAAAAGCACTTTTTTTAAAAAAAAGAAGCAAATACTTTTCGTGTAGGTAAATTTCATTTGCAGCTTCATTGTACCATCCACGTTGGTACAAAATAATAAGAATCCTGTACTCAGTAGAAGGGCCTTGATAAGCTGAAGATCATAAAAGGAGGGAAACCTGGATGGTGACATGCCTAGTTAAAGGCAATAGAATTTACTCTGTGCCTGCTTTCCATATGTGTTTCTGGATGCAAGTGACCTTATTTTAGTCTTTTTATCCCCAATGCCTAACACAGTTCTTGTATAAAGTAGATGTAAAAGCACTTTTTGAACAAAGAATTGGAAACAAAGTAAATGACCATCGATTGGGGAATGACTGAACAAATTATGGTATGTGAATATAACAGAATATAATTCATCCATAAGAAATCATGAAAAGAATAGATTCAAAAAAGTCTGTTAAGACTTGGGGTTTTTTAAGTGCCTATAATTTTGGTTTTTGTTGAATTTTTAAAAATTTATTTTTATTCTAAACTCAAACACCAAATTAAAAGGATATTTCCATATGCAGAATAGCAAAGAAAAAGACTGCATATGAAACTGAAACTCTTTCCTATATACAACTTGCTTTTCTCTTTTAAGTATATAATAAATTCATCGGAAAGCTTTCAAAGCTGTCCTGCTTGTCTAAGTTTCTTGCTGGCCTTCATTCTGTTCTCAGTCAGCATTTAGTAAGCTCTTACTATGAGACAGGCACTCCTGTAAGATCTGGGAATACAAAAACTCTAGGTAGAAAGAAATGTAATGCCCGCCCTCAAGGAACTTGTATTCTAATGGGGTAAGACAACATATGAAAGGAAACTGAAAGGGGATGGGGTGGGGGGGGAGACAAAAGTACTTAGTGCCTCCCGTATAACAAAAAAATAATCAAGCAAAACAAATTTATGTTGTAATGGTCTTTTGGGGAAAATATCGGTCTCATTCTGCATATCTCATCTGGGTGGGTAGCATGATTTATCATCAGTCTTCTGGAACTTTGGCCATAGCATTGATAAGAGTTCTTAAGATCTTCATAAGTGTTTTCCTTTACAGTGTTGTGACATGTGTAAATGGTCTGCCTGCTTCACTCTGGAACAGTTCATTCAAGTCTTCCAAGGTTTTTCTGAATCCATCTTATTTGTCAAAATGTATGCAGCCATTCCCCTAGTGATGTTTACCCATTTTATCTCCAGTTCTTTTCTACAACAAAACGTGCTCCTATAAATATTTTCTGTACATTTTGGCCTTTTCATCCTTCTTTGATCTTTTTAGGGCATATTCCTTGTAGCAGTATCATTGGGTTAAAATTATACAAAGTTTAGTGACTTTTGAGGTATGTTTCAAAATGGTGACTGGACTAATTCACAGCTCCCCAAGAGTACATTGTCCTGATGTACCTGTCCTCCTATATCTCCTCCAGCTATTGTCATTTTCACTTTTTCTCATCTTTGCTATTTGGATGTGTGTGTCAGAACTTCAGAGTTGTTGTAATTTGTATTTATCTTATTTTTAGTGAATTGAAACACTTTTTTTTCCTTGTTGGTTAATAGCTTTCATTTCTTCCTATGCGATCTGTCTATTGATATCTTTTGACCATTTAACTACTGGGGAATGGCTCTTGTTCTTATGTATTAGTATCAGTTATTGAGAATGACTTCCCGGTAGGACCATTGATAGCCCTACCCCTACCCAAATGGTGAAACAATACACCTCTAAGTTTTAAGGGGTCTTGCAAAGCTTAGATGGCCCCTGACCTCAACAAGTTCCAATAGCACTATATACAGTGATAATAAAGTAAGTACTCATCCCCTGCCACCAGGGTGTAACTCCCCCTCCCCCCAAAAAGTAACAGGAATATCCCCAGGAGCCCAAGCTACTCTACTGAATGTTCAGAGGGCTCAGATCACTAATTTTTCCTATCCTGGAAATGTATAACTTCGGGGTGGGGGTGGGGGGGAACCTGTGGCCCTCTAGGTCCTCAAGTGTGGCCCTTTGACTGACTCCAAACTTTACTGAACAAATTCCCTTAATAAAAGGATTTGTTCTGTAAAACTTGGACTCAATCAAAACCCTGCATCCAAGTACCTAGAAGGCCACATTTGACCTCAAGGCCACAGGTTCCCCATCCCTGGTATAGACAACGTTTTTTCCCCATTCTGTGGCCTCAAAATTCCTGCTCTAGGAGTCTAGCTTTTCCTTTCATCTCTACTTGGTGCATACCAAATGTTTCCTTTCCCCTCTATCTCCTCCCTTTACTCTCCTGATGTAGTAGGTTCACTTCTTAATGTCTGTAATCCTACCAGTGTTCTCATACCTTTCTTTCTGCTCCATACCACCCTAATTCTCTGAGCAGTGGTGTGCTAAGTCAAAGATTTGGGTTCCAGGACATCATAGTGTTCCATCTGGACGGCCCTGCCCTGTCTACTAAATATACATTCCCGAGGAATCACAGCAGGAAGCACCATAGGCAGTTTTAACTCCTTCACATATAGTCAGCTGCTGGGAGGGGAGAGGCTTGTAGAGGAAGTGGTGAGAGGTCACCCTCATCTTAGGGAGAAAAAACCCCCAGATAATAGGGTACTTTAGAAGACCCGTGGCATCCTCATATTCTTTGGGAAGGTCATAGATTTAGGGATGGGAGGGACTTCAGAGATTGTCTTATGCAACCCTTTCATTTTACAGATGAAGAAACTGAGGCTCAGGGAGGATAAGTGAGTTGTCCAGGGTCACCCAGTCCATAACCCTAGGAAGAACTCAGTTTCTTCTACAGGACAGAATGCCCTGGAGTCTAGTAAGGCATGTGTTTGAGGGTCAGTCTGTCCAGTTGGGACTTTTCCATCCTGAATGAGAGCAGCAAGGCTTTGAGCCTATTGGACCAGTCTCTTGTGGCTTTACTTGGCATGCTGACTAAAGGCTTTTCTACAGAGTGGTGTGATTAAAAAAAAATCCTAGCCAAAAGACCTGCGTTTAAGTTCTAGGTCTGACACTAATTGGCTGTGTGACTCTGGGCAAATTACCCTCTCTGAAATCACCCTTTCTTCATCTAAAAAAACAGATCTAATTATACTCACCATATAAGGAAAGGGCGCTGCAATCCACACTGCACTTGATACATGAGTTACTATATCATACTGTTTTTCTATCTTGATTTCCCTTTGTCCTGAAGGGAAACTGAGGCAAAGAATTGGTAAAACAGTTAAATCAGTTCCTCACAAAATTCAGCAGTCACTGAGGCAATAAATAACCTAATTAATCCAGGCCCTAACCCACTTTTACTGAATAACCTGACTAATTATCTTGGTTCTTTGCTTCTTTTTTTCACAGCAAGTACTAGGCATCAGGCCAAACTTTTCCCTAGGGCGGATCCCATTACAGGGCACTGTGAATACAGGTGTGAAGGACTCAGGAGCTGGGATGAATTCCCACCCCATGGAGCTGAGTGTCTCATCACAGGTTTGTGTTGGTGACCCGTCTCCCTCTTCTTCTCTGCATGGGGACCCCCAAGACCAGTGTTAGATAGCTTCCTCAAAGTGGTGGGGCACGTGTCCAGGATAATAATATGCCACTAGGGAGAGGGGACACTATCAATGAAGAGCACTATCAATCCTCCCCACCCCCCAAAGCTGACACAATACACAAAGCCCTTCAGCCCACAACTCAAGTGTCTACTCAGGAGATGTCCCTTCTGGTTTGAATCCCACTGTGGAGCACTGATGTATCTGTAGCTCAGCGAGGACTCCTCCCCACTGTGGTCTGAGAGAGTAAACCAGCACCAATTCACAGCTGACAAACTCCAGGAGAGTGGCAGGCAGCAAGCTGGGGATGGAGCCCTGGGCTGGGTGCCAGCTCCCCTGTGTCCTGTTCCCGGCTCTGCCAGTGACTCACTCTGGGGCTTGGTGGCCTCCCCTCCCATTTTGGGGCTGTTACTTTTTTCTTGGTTCCCTCCATTCTTGGCCAGGGATATCCAGGCTCAGACGTGTTAGGGGGACAGGGACCCCTAGAGAGCAGACAGGGTTGTCAAGGAGAAAAGCTCAAGAGACTAGAACATGGAGTGCTGGAACACGAGGGCCGGGCTGAGGCCATAGAGACAGAGGTCCTGGGTATCTGGAGAGGCTCCCCGTATGAGGGGGCAGGAGAGGAAGGAGGGTGGTTGTAGAGCAGGGAAGGGAGGTTCAATAGACCTGGAGCCTCTCTTGTCCTGGAAGGAAGTAGGGTTGGTAGAGAAAGTGGGGTGGGGTTAGGGGAGGAGGCATTCAGCCAACCCTGCTGGGCAGCGGTAAGGAGGGTATGAAAGGGCCCTTCACATGGGGGCAGTGGACAGGAAATCCATCCAACCACCAATGTTATCTGAGAAAACGGCAGTGCCTGGCAGCCCCCAGGTTGGCACGCCCTCCATGGCTACAGTCAGGACGCAATCAGCAACTGGAACAGCTGGTCCACACCCCTTTTCTCCCTCCCCTCCCCCTCGCCCTCCCCTGCTGGCTGTTGGCACAGGGTATATTTCCTTGGCAATGACCCTAGTCCTCCTTTTAAAAAAGCCCTTCTCTCCGTCCAAGCGCTGGCCACTTTTTCTAAGTTCAAGGTCCGGTCCTAGGGCTCCTCCCACCATCCAGACCCAGTTGGTCCAGCCCCTTTCCCTTTGCATGCAGTGCCCCCTGCTGTCCCAGATGCCGACATGTCCTAAACCCATACAGCTTGAATTTTTAAATTTCCTGTTCAAAAATGGCTGAATATATGATGCTGTATTAATGCAATGCAATATGCGAGTGCTATAAAAATTGTCAATATAAAGAATACAGTGGAACGTAGAGATGTTTGTACGAAGTGAAGCAAGGAGAGATTCTTGAAACCAAAACTCTGAATAAAACCACATATACCACACCTTGTACCCATTAGAGTGACAAGCATGACAAAAGAGGAAAATGACAAATGTTGGTGGAGCTGCAGGAAAACAGGCGCTGTAATGCATTGTTGGTGGAACTGTGAATTTGTCTAGCCATTCTGGAAAGCAATTTGGAGCTATGCCCCCAAAGTCACTACATTTTTGTCTGACACTCAGTAGTACCACTACTAGGTCTATACCCAAAGAGATCAAAGAAATAGGAAAAGGATCTATATATACAAAAATAATAATAGCAGCTCTTTTTCTAGTAGCAAAAAAAAAAACCTAAAAGGGTGCCCACCTATTGGGGAATGACTAAGCAAATTATGATATATGAATATGGTAGAATATTAATTGTGCTATAAGAAAAGGTAAAATGGATAATTTCAGAGGGATCTGGGAAGAGCTCTAAGAACTATTGCAAGGTGAAACAGAACTCAGAACAATTTATGCAATGATAATATTACTAAGAGAGACTTTAAAACTCTGTTCGATGGAATGATCAACCACCATTCCTGAGGATTAAAGATGAAACAAGCACCGGCCCTGGAGTCAGGAGGATCTGAGTTCAAATCCGACCTCAGAAACATAACCTTTACTAGCTGTGTGACCCTGGGCAAGTCACTTAACCCCATTGCCTAACCAAAAAACAAACAAACAAAAAAATTAAACAGGTTACCCCCTTTCTGCCAGAGAGGTGATAAACCTAAAATACAGAATGAGGCATACATTTTGGGGCATGACCACAGCAGGAATTTATTTTGCTTGGCTATGCATATTTATTAAAAGGGCTTTGCATTTTTTTTTCCAAGGGGGGAGGTAAGAAGTTGAGGGAGAGTTGGGGTAAGGTAGCAACTTAATATATATTTTTCAAAAAGTTGAGCATAGAGATTCATTTTTTCATGTGCAATCCTCTTTTTCTGTTTTTCTTTGTGTATCAGTCCTTCCATCAAGGATTGGACTGGCTGCCTTGTGAGAGACTGTAAGTTGTTAAGGACCCTGGGCATCATTGTTCTGGTAAATGTTTAACAACCAGCTCTTACAATGGAAAAATGTATGCATGATATATTTTTAAGTTTAATTTTCATTATTAATATTTTCTCTATCACTTTCTTAAGTTTAGATAATAAATAAGAAATCAAGCCCTGAATTGTAGCATTGGCAATTTTTGAGGTGCAAATGCTCAGACTAAAAATTTAACAACTGGCTCTTAAGAGCTGGTTAGAGTTGGCTCCAGCAGGTTATTGTGTTTCTTCCTATTTTGGAAAGAGAAGAAGCTAACATGGGATTAGTACTGGAGGGAAGACTCTTACACTTCAGTGGGACCTTTAAAAATCTCCTATGAGAGAGTTAAGGGAGAGAGAACACAACAAGAAGAGGGAGTGAATGATGATGGTGGTACTTCCCCAAGCCACATAAAGCACCAGTGGTGGCAGATTGCTTGGTAGCTCCCCTTCTCAAGCTGAAGACTGGAGAGGTGAAAACTAAAGGGTCAAGAAGGAAGGTATGAAATTGTTTTGTTTTCTTTTTAAATTGCAGGCTCTTGCTCTGGTGACTGGAAGACCGAGTTAAAAAACAAACAAATCAGAAAACAACAACAACAACAACAGCAGCAAGTACTTTCTGGGGAATTTGGAATAAGAATCTGGTCTTTATTCCTTTCCCCTGCCTAAATTTAGCAGGATGTGCGTGGCACATATTTCTAAGAGTACTCTTTAATTTTATTAAAGATTGCATCTGACTGATCTAATCTTATTTCAATAAACACTTGTGACTGACCCTGTCCTGTATGTTTCCTTGTGTCCCTTTGTTCATGGTTTTGTGACTCACATAGGATAGAGTGCTCTTCCCCAGAACAGCCTGTTAGAGAGTTTTTTCTCTTTAACTGGGGGAATAATCTAGGGCCATCCATATGTTTCATAACTACACTTCTGAGGAAAGAATTGCTATGAAATTGGGCCTTTCGATATGCAAGCTCCATCTGAGCACATCTGAGCCTAAATTGTTGTTACAAGCAATGCAGTGTTACAAGCAAATTTATAGAAAGGTTCATGTTTATTGATGTTTGTCAAGTTCATAATAATAATAATAATAAAGAAAGACTTGGTCAAGGGTTAGCTGGCAAATAATCTGCAAAAATATAGATGTTACAGAAGGGATCATATCCCTTACCTCAGTCATTTTGCTCCTAGTGATACATCCTAAGGATGTTTTTAGAAGGGAAAAAAACTTTATGCACTTTTTTCCTTTTGAGACCACTTTACATTAATTTATACTTTTTTTTTATTGATTTACCTGTGTACTTACTGTATGCTTCCCTCTGCCCCTGCAGAAATAAATTCCTTGACAGCAGGAACCATTTTATTTTGTTTTATTTTTTCACTTTGTATCCTCAGGGCCTACCTAACACAGTGCCTTACAGAGGTGTTTAATACAACTTCTAATATAAATTTTTACAGAATATTATTGTGCTACAAAGTGATAAATATGAAGGATGCAAAAATATATATGACCAGCTGGTGGCACTAGTGAGCAAAGCAGACTGGGTGGTCAAGGTGCTAAGAGGAGGGTGGTACTTCCCTAAGCTATAAGAAGCAATATGGTGGCAACACTGGTAGTTTTGCTTCTCAAAGCAAAGATGAGAGAGGTGAAAGCTAAAGAGGCAAAAAGGAGCATATACATTTTTATGTGTATTAAAATATACATATATGTGTATTTATTTGTTTTTTACATGTCTGTCTATCCATCTATCTAAAATCCTAATCACTGATTCTTACTCTTTCTTTCTCTCCTTTTTATGATTACTACTCCAAAGCTGAAGTTTGTTTTCCTTATAAATATTCTCTTTTCTCCTCCACCCTTTTCACCCTTCCTCTCCCTATCCCAACCTGGTTCTAACAGATCTGAGGCGTTTTCTTGAAATATAGCATCCAAGTTTTTGTTTGGTTGTGGTTTTCAAGGAGTCCAAATGATTCCTAAATGATTACTGCTCAGTGTGTTTTCTAGGTTAGTTTAAAAATATATATAATATACATATATATATAGTAGCTACCTTATATGTGCTTCTATTTTATCAATCTTTTTAATTTGTTGTAATATTTCATGTTGTCTCATGGAATCATTGAGTTCTCTTTGTTCCATTCAATTTTTTAGGGAATCTATTAGTTGGGTAGGGTTCAACCTACCTTTCGTTCTTAGCTGTTTATTCTCCTTCCACTTCCTATTTCCCTTACCATCTAACTCACTCCCCTGCCCCACCCCACCCTACCCCAAGCCCAGGACTTCTTCAACATCGACAGAGCAGTTTTGTTACTACCATTATAAATTTAACATATACTTTTTTTAAAAAGCAAGATATATGTAACAAGAATTCACATTTTCATATACAACATTCTTTTTTGTTCTTTGCATATTGAAGTTCATATTTATTGATGTTTGTTATGTTTATAATAAAATAAAGATTAATTTAAAAAATTAAATTGCTTGTTCAATCCTTTGACTACTCATCTATTGAGAAATGACTTTTCTTCTCACGTATTTGTATCAGTTCTCTACATATCATAGCCCCTTTGTTTTATAGATGAGGAAACTGATGCCTAGAGAAGTTCTTTGACTTACCCAAGCTCATTCAGTCCTAAGTAACAAAGCTGGTATTTGAACTCACATCTTGATTACAATCACTCTGCCTACTAGACCACACTGCTTTGAAGACATGGTCTGATTGAAAAGCAGAACCTTTCAAGAAATGAAGGCAAAAAGGAACAGGAATGAAAATAGGGAATATAATAATAATAAAAAAAAAAAAACTCTTCAAGGTCAAATGTACACAGGTATATTTATTATTATTTTTTTCATTTAACCCTAACTTAGGCTCAATTGAAATAAAGTGTAACACCCTGTCCCCTTTCTGGATCACTTCCTCAACCTGCCTTTACAATCGAAGTTTGGGTCTGCAGAGACTGAGCACTCTCAGGTTCCTGTGCTGCCATACTTCCAATGCTGCAGCTCATGAGCCTTCATCAGCCAGTAGACACCATTAGCTGTGGCATTTACTGAGACCAGATAGTAAGAAGAGTAGTTACAAAACATTCTCCGGTAGACCTACGGCACACTCATTCTTACACAGTGTCCCGGGGAAGGATGAGCGCAAACTTAAAATGATAATGAAGCACATATCTATGTGGCCAAGGCAACTAACAACTTTGGAACTGCAAGGGTTAAAGTTCTTTCTCTCCTGTTGAGTCTTCATAAAGCTCACCCTTGGGAACTGCATCTCTGTTGGGCAGGATGCTCAAATGAGCTCCTGGGGTGGCATCATCTCCACAGCCTCCTGAGATCAGCTCTCTCTCTCTCTCTCTCTCTCTCTCCCTCTCTCTCTCTCTCTCTCTCTCTCTGAGTCAGTCGGGGTTAAGTGACTTACCCAGGGTCACACAGCTAGTGTCGAGTGTCTGAGGTCAGATTTGAACTTGGGTCCTTCTGACTCCAAGGCCAGAGCTCTATACATTGCATCACCTAGCTGCTCTGCAAGGTCAGCTTTCTCTTGAAGCCACAGCTGGGCTCCATTTTTTACTATGAGAGGTTCATCTCCTGTAAGCTGCTTCCTTCCTCAAGTGACTGCCTTTATGTATTTATATACATTAGCAATATGTGTGGGGCAACTGGGTGACAATGGATAGAGTGCTGGGCCAAGAATCAGGAAGACTCATCTTCCTGAGTTCAAATCCAACCTCAGACACTTACTAGCTGGGTGACCCTGGGCAACTCATTTAACCCTGTTTGCCTAAGTTTCTTCATCTGTCAAATGAGCTGGAGAAGGAAATGGCAAACCACTCCAGTATCTTTGCCAAGAAAACTCCAAATGGGGTCACAAAGAATCAGACGCTACTGGAATGGCTGAACAACAGAAGGAATGTGTGTCTCTGTTCCCTGCTGGATACGCATTTCCCACTGGTTGAGTAGTGCTTCAAAGCAACTGTGACCAAAGGTGAGGGTGGGGTGGGGATTGGGGGGAGGATAGAACAATCCCCTCTTCCCCAAGAGCAATTCCCTCTCAAGGCCCAGGTTCTTCCTCCACTTCTTGCTTGGACCTATCCAAACTGCCAAACTTGCCCAAGGTTTAAAGCCCAGCAAAGTTGTATCTGATTTTTGCTTGTTCAAAGAGGTTATTCCTTTTAATTCCATCATAGAGAAGTGTTCACACTTTGTAAAGGGAGTACCAGTTGTTAGCACCTTATTAACACCTTATTACTTCTCATCTCTTCTTTACTTTCTGTGACTCCTCTGCTGTGGTAGGTAGGGAAGAAATCCCTTCTCCTTTATATTCTTCTCTCTATTTAAACATTTGCTGTCCCTGGAAAATCACTGGGCTTTGTTTTGCCAAAGTCCAGGTGACATAGTTCAGAAACAAAGTTCATAGTTTGATCCAGAAATTAGCATTCTTCCACAAAGATACTGGCCTATCATAAGTGGTGGGCTTAGGGATTATACTTAGTTCCAGATTCAGAGTTATACCATTTTAACAAGTATATGTGATTTTATAGTGTTACCCTTTGTCTTGGAACTTACCTCCATAATCCCAAAGATAATAAAGAAAAAAATCAAGCTTCCTTTCCATCAAAGGAAAAGTCTGGTCCCCTACAAGAGTTTGAAGAATATGTGAGACTTTCCCATCAGGAATCAGGGACCTAGAGTCCAAAGGACTCTGAAGTCATCTGAAGTCAGCTTCAGGTGAAGAACCAAATCACTTTGTCTTGGTGCTTTGGCCCAGGACTGTGTGGGCTTCTCCTTCTGCTAGAGAGGGAGGCCCTTCTGCTATAGACCCCCATGAAGACTAGGTTTAATCGTGAGGGAAGAGGTTGTGCATGTATGAAAAGTCCTCTTGGTTCTTGTAACACATAGGGCATATGAAAAATCTGCAGTGGACCCCTGGAACACACAGGATAATCCAAACTGCAGTTCAAACTCTCCCTTCTGTAAGCCAAACAAGCTGATTTATGACAGAAAACAAACTCAGAAAAGTCATAGAGAGGCGTGGGGCTCCTTGAAAAGATTCTGCCCTTGGGGTCGATTACTCAGGGTTTCTGGGCCACCTTCAGGCTGCAAGTGTCCCAGAGGAGCTGTCTGGACTCCTGTCACAGTAAAGCAAACATTCCCTCTCTGGAGTTGGGTTTCTCCTCCTTTTTTGACTCTCTTCCATGGACCCACCTGAACTGCCAAATTTATGCTCATCTAGGGTTTCGCTATTTAAAGTCACACAAAAGCATGCCCCTCCTCTTTTTTTTTTTTCATGTCCAACGAGTTAGCTCTTTTTAATTCCATAAGAGAAAGGTATTCACATTTGGTAAAGGAATTACGCATTAACACCTGATTATCTTTGTGATCTACTCTGACTTTGGTGAAAGTAGCAATTGTAGGGGGTGGGGTGGAGGAAAAAAAGTCACCCTCACTTCCAAAAGGAGAAAAAAGGATGGAGATTTCTTGTCAAGGTCATTCATGCTATGGTGTATTATGTGAGGGCTGGATCTAGGGATGCCAGAGACTCTGCTGGCCTCCAATCTTGCATCTCCAACCACCTTTTAGATGTCTCCAACTGCATGTCCAGTAGACATCTTCAGCTCCTTAAGTTCAAAACTGAACTCATTAGCTTTCCTCCTAAACCTATCCCTCCCTTCCTATCTTCCTTATTACTGCAGAGGGCAACACCTTCTCAGTGCCTCAGGCTCAAAAACTAGGAGTCATCTACTCACTATCTCTCGTGCCTCTATATCCAAACTGTTGCCAAAGCCCACTGATTTCACCTTTGTAACATCTTTAGAGTATGTCC